CAACGGCACATCGATAGATTTTTCACCTAGTCGGATCGGGGATTCGAACCAGCGACCTTTCGGTTACTGGCCCAACGCTCTTAACCACTAGGCTAGCTGTCTTGACTGGTTACGCTGTTATGAGTGCCTTATGCACTGTATACCCCCATCAAGTGAAGTATTACTGCAGTGTTTAGACAAAGACATAGATGAAGGAAGAGTCCAGTGGCTGAAGTGGGTATTGTAATGCTCTAGTGCAGTCTAACCTCCATGTATCTGTATGAACTCTGTTGTATTCTATTAAGGGAACATTTGATGACTACCTAGAGCTGTTCCTGCTGTTTGGCTATGTCAGCCTGTTCTCCTGTGTCTACCCTCTGGCCGCGGTGCTGGTGGTGCTCAACAACGTCACAGAGGTCTACTCCGATGCCTTCAAGATGTGCAAGGTGTTCAAAAGACCCTTCTCTGAGCCTGCAGCCAACATAGGGGTGTGGCAGGTAAGACTGACCTAATAGCTCTTTCTACTCTGTTTAGTTCACTATTGTACATTTTAGTTCAGAGATCAGTTCACTTTAGTGTGGTTGGTTGGTTGCTTGATTGACTTTATTTGATAATTAAAGTAGATAACATTTTCAAGGATAAAAAAGTTTGTCTGACCGATTCAGTTAATTTCTAACTGATGATTGTTTTGAATGGGGGTGGAAAGGGAGACCAGTCAGTGGGGAAAATTCCTGTGTTTTGTTTTCTTCCAGCTTGCCTTTGAGGCCATGAGTGTGATCGCCGTGGCGACCAACTGTGCCTTGATTGGCATGTCCCCCCAAGTCAAGTCCTATTTCCCAGAGTCAGAGACACAGCTCATACTGTGGGTGGTGGGCTTCGAGGTACTGTACCATTTTCACACCTCTCACTCTTCACACACACAATCTGACTAGACATGTACGAAATCATTTCCTACTAATTTAAATATCTTATTTCCCAGATTGTGTCTCAGTTTGGTGCTTCTTGCGCCTAAATAGAGTTGAAGCAGGCGGATCAGCAGAATAGAGTTGAAGCAGGCGGATCAGCAGAATAGAGTTGAAGCAGGCTGATCAGCACAATAGAGTTGAAGCAGGCTGATCAGCAGAATAGAGTTGAAGCAGGCTGATCAGCAGAATAGAGTTGAAGCAGGCTGATCAGCAGAATAGAGTTGAAGCAGGCTACTCAGCAGAATAGAGTTGAAGCAGGCTACTCAGCAGAATAGAGTTGAAGCAGGCTACTCAGCAGAATAGAGTTGAAGCAGGCTGATCAGCAGAATAGAGTTGAAGCAGGCGGATCAGCAGAATAGAGTTGAAGCAGGCTGATCAGCAGAATAGAGTTGAAGCAGGCTGATCAGCAGAATAGAGTTGAAGCAGGCTGTTCAGCAGAATAGAGTTGAAGCAGGCTGTTCAGCAGAATAGAGTTGAAGCAGGCTGTTCAGCAGAATAGAGTTGAAGCAGGCTGATCAGCAGAATAGAGTTGAAGCAGGCAGATCAGCAGAATAGAGTTGAAGCAGACTGATCAGCAGAATATAATTGAATCAGGCTGATCAGCAGATGGCGCCAGAGAGTCATAGAATGAGAGATCCATCCTTGCTGCTTTGGTAGCATGTGTGAAGAAGATGATGATGACTGGGTGTTTATGTCCTGACTATACTGTAGGTCTCGTCTCGTCTCCTCCACTGTGTCTTTGAGTGCCGCTGTAAGCCGGGGAGAGTACAGAGGGTAGGCCAATAGATAGGACCTGTGTTAGTGGGGGAGATATGTGTGGATAATGCACTGTTCCAGGTTTCAGCCCCAGCATAACTCCAGTCAGTCCACGTCTGTTAGGATCACAATTGGGGGAGCTCGTTGTGCAACATCCTCCGCATGCACCTCCAGCCCTCGAGAGAAAATGCTTAAAATAACTAAGAGAAAAAAGAGCAGAGGGGGGGCCTGAAGCAGAGGAGACGTAGTTCATTAGAATAGAAAACATTTTTACATTTGAGTCATTTAGCAGACGCTCTTATCCAGAGCGACTTACAGTTAGTGAGTGCATACATTTTTTCATACTGGCCCCCCGTGGGAATCGAACCCACAACCCTGGCGTTGCAAGCGCCATGCTCTACCAACTGAGCTACAGGAGGCCTAATAGAAATGTATTTTATTTTATTAGTCCTTGGAGGCCATTCTAGTGTGGTTTATCACCTTGCTCAAACAACATTGTATTTTTACGGATTTTAAATGAGGTCTTATTGATTTGCTGGCTGCATGTTTGGTTGAATATTGTTTTTGCATTGGTCTACAGACCTGCCACAGAGCAAGTAAACACGTTCCCTTAATACTAACTGTGTATGACAACCCCTTCACTGCGGTTCAAACATTTCATATTTGTGCACTATTTGTGTATTGATTTCCTGTCTTTGCACCAGCTAATACAGACCAGCACCAATACAGACAGAATCATGGACAGACAGACAGCAGTAAATACAACACACTTGCTCTTGCACATACTGTATGTCTCCAGCGCCCAGGGAGTTGCTCTGACCACCCTGTGGAGCCTGTATACTCTGTGCCTGGGCTCTGTGCTCGGCTGCTCGGGGCTTGATGTTGTGTGGTAATGGAATGCCTTGACCTCTAACCTCGGTGGCTCAGAGGCTGAAGTTGGCACGGTGGTGAGCTGCTGCAGGGTGAATCTCTCTCTGCAGTCCACCTCAGACTGTAGAACACGTGATGTCACACACACTGCCGTGGTTAAACCTACAGCACGGGGGTTATCACACTGGATTTGTGTGTGCGTGTGAGCGTGCGAGATGAACCTACCTCACTAGCTTATTGTACATCCAGGCACATTTCACACTGCTGCCAAGCAGCACATTTCCTGTAGATCTGTGGGCTGGCGTCTCCCTGCCAGATCATTCAGTCCATTACAGACTGGAGCAGCAGAACCTGCCCTGCTACTCAGCATGCAGGGACAGGGTACACGCACACACTGATCCTTTTCTGGATGCATTGTTTGTTTATGTATTCATTGAACGTAGTCAATACATAATCACCACAAAATATCTGCCAGAAACTATTTGAGAAATATTCATGAGTCACTGATCCACATGATACACTGTGGCAGAGGCTATGAATATCTAGATTCTATTCTATGAATATATAGATTCTATTCTATGAATATCTAGATTATATTTTATGAATATCTAGATTCTATTGTTAGATTCTAAATAAACAGAGTAAAAACTCACGGAAGAATAGTAAAGGTCAAACCAAGTTTATTCACCCAGCTGCATAAAACAAGACATATTCACACAAGCACTGGTATTTAAACCTTCCTCCTATGCTGAGTCTCCTCCTTACACATCTGGACAGCCAATACATCTCTGTTGCTAGACAGGACTGATGCCTGTTCTTTCTCACTTCATCTAACCTGACCTCGGCCCAAATTCCTCACTTCTCCCTAACTCACGGCTGTCCTGTTGACTTGTACCAGACTGTGGCCCTTATCCTTTCCATAGGATACCTGATGTCTAACAATAACATGTTCTGACAGAATGTAAACGTTCTTCATTCCCCTCTCTCCCTCAGTGACATTATTAAGGATATTTAAAGTTCATAAGTCAGAACCCCATCACTATTCTATGAATATCTAGATTCTATTCTATGAGTAGTGCTACAGAGACAGTCAATGTTGGCAGACATATAGCCTGCATTCCAAATGGCACCCTATTCCATATACTGTACTTTGGGCCCTGGTCAAAAGTAGTGCACTATAGGGAATAGGGTGCCATTTATTATACAGCCATAATAACCCAGCCAGTTACAGAAAGCAGAGCAGGATATGGCTATTAGGGCCTCTAGTGCCTTCTGTCAGGGATGTTCTGGGTCAGTCCAGCTCTACGATACAGAGAACAGGTCTTTCTGAGTCAGTCCAGCTCTACGATACAGAGAACAGGTCTTTCTGAGTCAGTCCAGCTCTACGATACAGAGAACAGGTGTTTCTGAGTCAGTCCAGCTCTACGATACAGAGAACAGGTCTTTCTGAGTCAGTCCAGCTCTACGATACAGAGAACAGGTCTTTCTGAGTCAGTCCAGCTCTACGATACAGAGAACAGGTCTTTCTGAGTCAGTCCAGCTCTACGATACAGAGAAACAGGTCTTTCTGAGTCAGTCCAGCTCTACGATACCAGAGAACAGGTCTTTCTGAGTCAGTCCAGCTCTACGATACAGAGAACAAGTCTTTCTGAGTCAGTCCAGCTCTACGATACAGAGAACAGGTCTTTCTGAATCAGTCCAGCTCTACGATACAGAGAACAGGTCTTTCTGAGTCAGTCCAGCTCTACGATACAGAGAACAGGTCTTTCTGAGTCAGTCCAGCTCTACGATACAGAGAACAGGTCTCTCTGAATCAGTCCAGCTCTACGATACAGAGAACAGGTCTCTCTGAATCAGTCCAGCTCCACAAGACAGAGTGATATTTTGCTCCTGTACAATACCTAATTTCACCTTTTGAGGCGCAGACAGTAGTAACGTGTAGTGGCTGTTATGTTGTTCCATCAATATGAACCTGTTAGTCTGATGTGGTGGGGAGGGAGGGCCCTGGCAGAATGGGTTCAGGGACCAGACCAGATGCCGGTGTCTCAACCCCACAGTGGGACCAGACCACCGGATCATATAGGAGGAGAGTGAGAAAAATACTTTGCTACCATAAAATGCAGCATTGATATATCACCTTTATGTAGGTTAGCATATCTTGCATAACTTTGTGTTTAAAGGCCATGGACTCAGTCTAGTCAATGTGAAATGTTACGAGGGCCCTTCGGCTCTCTCTCTCGCTCTCCTGGGTAGCTGTTCTTCCTCTCTCCTGTCTGTGATTGGCTGGGACAGGGCTCATTGTTGAGCAGGTGATACCTGGGTAATTACTGTACGGCATGGCATGCTTCACAGAGCAGTAACCAGGCAACAGGGTAGCCTAGCCACAGACACAGAGATGTCGGAAGGGAGGGAGAGAGAGGGAGGGAGGGGAGGGATGGCGAGGAGAGGGGGGAAAGAGGGAGAGGCGAGTGGGCGGGGGGGGGCAGGGGGCAGAGAGCAGAGAGGGAGGGGGGAGGTGGGGGCCTGGGGAGGGAGAGTGAGGGGGGGGGGGGAGAGGAGAGGGGGGAGGAGCATTGGGGAGAAGAAGGGAGGGAGGGAAGAGGGGGGGGGAGGAGAGAGAGAGGCGGGATGTAGGTTACGGGTTGACACTAGAAATACTGTTGTCATTGTCAAGTTGAATGTGTTTGTACATTTGCACAGATTATGTAATAGAATCGTTATAGTTAATGCATTTTGTGAGATGTTAACCAAACCTTTCATGCATTGTCCGTTAACAAAAGCACATACTATCTATACCTTTTTAAAACAACAAGGAGAAATCGGGAATAAATATTTATATTTTACCTTCCATTCTATTCCCAGATATAGCCTGTACTATTTAGGCTAGTAAAAACAATGTGTAGGCTAAAAGCTCCATCTTGCACATCAACAGTCTTTGTTGTATCACTTTCTCCATGAGGTTTATTTTAGGCAGGGAATCAGAGAGCCAATCCCATTAAAGTGGGTTTCAGATAATCAGATTAGAATCCAGCAGCAGGTTTGCCATGCCCCAGGCCCTGGGCACTGATGGGGGTTGGCATTCCCTGTACCAACCAATCTAATCCCTATATAGCTAGTGCACTAGGTTTGACAAGGGCCCATAGTGCTCTGGTCAAAAAGTAGTGCACTATGTAGGGAATAGGGTGACATTTGGGAGGCATCCTGTGTACTAACGTAATCCCTGAACCCTGCATCTAGTGTAGGGACATGGCTTTTACTCTGCTGTTTGATTTAAATATGTAAATGTCTGTTTCTCTCTATCAAACAGTGACACATTGTAGAAAATGTTACCTAAGCTCTCGTGTGTGTGTCTCAGGGTTTTCGTTATGAAAATGTGGCGCCGGACATTTGACCTGCAGCATTTTCATTTACCTGACATTTGAGAAATGTACATGACCCATATGAATAGGCCGTCCACCCACGGTGCTCAGAATGACAGAAATCACATTTTGATTATGGTTATTCATTTTAACAGAACATGCAAGTCGAGGATGCAATGACGTGTGTCCTTAACGCGCACTTTGAAGACGTTAGAATAACTGTCCACTTTTTTCTCAGCCAACAAGACGAGTGACGAACAGCAAAATCACTAGCCTATGCATAGGCGGAGCGTGAGTTTGAAGTTAGGAAAGCAATGCACCTTTATAATAAAGCATTCCATTCATCATCGCATTTGCAGACTTATGTAAAATTGCTTACTATTCCTAATGTGATGAGTAGATTGGATAGTCATAATTTAGGCTAATAATAGAACTCAATCACTGTTCGCAAAAAAAATACCAGTTTAATGCATGGCTGAGCACGTATGGTGTTAAGCAGCGTTTCCCAAACTCGGTCCTGGGGACCACAAGGGGTGTACGTTTTGGTTTTTGCCCTAGCACTACACAGCTGATTCAAATAATGAACTCAACTTCAAGCTTTGATTATTTGAAGAAGCTGTGTAGTGCTAGGGCAAAAACCAAAACGTGCACTCTTTGGGGTCCCCAGGACCGAGTTAGGGAAACGTTGGTGTAGAGGCCTGAGCTGTAGGCTTTATCAGATACGTTTCATGCTAAAATATACTACACTTTGTATTACATTCTGTTAATGCATGTATTAATTACAGTCATTTACCATTCTCATTATTGGAGTGGAAATGTTATTTGCAGAGTTCACAACCTGCTACACTTGTGAGAAACAAGTTTTGTTTAGTTTTGTCAATATTTTCATTGTATTTTGTTCATCCTGATAACGTTCAGGGAGGCGCGCGCGCCTGAGCACACATAGAAGTAGGCCTACCTGGACTGCTGGGTGCATGTGTAGGAAAGTGCCCATTTGGCAAGGTCTGATTGTCTTAACTCCCCACGTCCACCACTAATAAGCTGAGCTTCTCAGTCATGTTTTCTTCACCTCACACATTGTCAAAGAAGTCTGTTTTTTTTACATCCATTGCGAAAGATAGTTCCTCAGAATTTGAAAAATCTTTCCAACACTCCCGGCCTCGATAATCACCAAGCCTCGGCGTGAAAGAGCAAAATACCATGTTCTGATGATCCCATATATCCAGTGGAAACGTCATAAAAAACAGCTGTCTGTCCCGAGTTCACTGGCACAGAATCTCTGAGGAGCCGAAATAGGCTAGTTGATACAATGTTTCAAGTTCGCTAGCAACAGCTTTTGGCCAGACCCAGTTGATGATTTGATACAATGTTGCACTTCACTAGCAATAGCTCAAGTAAAGACAGACAGAAAGGGAGGCAGAATTTTCATCAGGATATTTTCTACTGTTTTTATTTTTCAGCATCAGGCCTACTGCTGCATTGGCTTATAGGCTATCTCTGACTTCTATGCGCTCTTCTTTAGTAGCCTATTTTGAATGATTTTATTTATTTCTGTATAGGCTATATCATTTTGGTAATTTTAATTCCATTTACTTAAGGAAAGTTTAGCTTCCCCTAACCTTATGGACTCGTTGCCTATGAGCTTATGTCAATCTACTATCCCCCATAGTAGAAAAGTTTACCTATTCTATTGGTCAGCTTGTGGAGAAAGGAAATAGCCCAAAAAGATCCTGGGTCAGTTGTGGGACGATAGAAAGCATCTGATGCAACAGATCAGAACATTTAGCTGAAAATTACAATTGGCTGGTGGCAATTTTATTTATTGGCTTTTCTAAAAAATTAAATAAAAAGCCAAATGCCAGCTATTACCAGCTAACTGAAACCTGTGTGTGTGGACAGAAACAGAACATCCAATGACAGCATTCAGACAGACAGAGGTTTGTCCTGTAATTCACAACCCAGGATGAAATACTAATGACCTGTCTGGGGGATGCATAGAGGATGTCTAGGAGAGGAGAGGATAGTCACTCACTCAGTCAGTCACTCGGTCTGTCCTGGTGATTTATCTAAAACAAAGATTGACACAGAGGAGAGAGGAAGGGGAGTTGTGATCTATGATTGAGTAGGAAGTACCTCTGTCTGGACACAGAAGCTGGGCTGGCACACTGCTACTGCAGAGGTGAAGTGAAAGATGGGCGTTTAGCCTGCTGATGATCAAGGACGCAGGTGTAGACTTCTTCTTAAGATGAGACATAATGTAAATGAATGCAGTCCAACCGTACTGCAGACTATGTATAGTCTTATTACCCACTCTTACTGTGTCATTGGTGTTACAGCCAGAATAACAGGATGGTGTCACAGACCCTTACCACTAGTGTGCTGACGATATCCCATCTGAATTGCGCCTCTGAAATTGTGTTGCAAAACCCCAGATGGTTGGTATTTCACATGAGTCATAATGAACGGGGGCATGTATCTACTGTAGGTATGGGTAGTGGGAGAGAGGCTGTTCTTTTCATGGTCATGAACTGAAATGGAACTCACCCTGTAGATAAAGTGGGCTTGATATTCACTGCAGTGTTAAGGGCCGTACACACCTAGGACGATAACTATAATGATAACTATGATTGTTATCTTTTTATCTTGATAGATTTTGTTATAGTCATCGTCCTAGGTGTGGGCGGCTCTTAAAGATGGTTATCAGGAAGTGTTTAGTACTATGACGGAGTCAATAGATGTCAGAATGTATAGGGAGGACAGAGGTAGCCTAGAGGTTAAGCGCATTGGACCAGTAACGAAAGGTTGCTGGTTCGAATCCCAGAGCCGACTAGGTGAAAAATCTGTCTGTGCCCTTGAGCAAGGCACTTAACCCTAACCGTTACTGTAAGTCACTCTGGATAAGAGAGTTTGCTAAACGACAAAAAAAAGACAGTTTTTTAGCCGTCCTTCTTGCCTTGGTCCTTGCTGTTTACAGCCCAGTCCTTTATAATGCTGATAACACTGGCTGGTATAATGCAGCTGGCTTTATTTGTTTGGTGCCTGACAACGCTGTCTGTCAGTCTCCCTCTTGCTGTTTGCTTCGCCAAAGGGAAATCAGCCACGGTCCTCCAAAGCCACTGTGATGTAGTCTGTGGTATGTGTTGTTGAAGTCCAGAACCCTTTGTACCCAGTAACTGAATGTGTCTGACTCTGCCACCATGGTTGTGGTTCCTTCTTTTATATACTGTAGAGTACTATTGGCCTTGTGCTAGCTCTAGTCATATCTGTGTATTGACAATGGCACCATATTCCCTATTTAGTACACTACTTTTGACCAGGGCCCATAGGTCTCAGGTCAAAAGTAGTGCACTATATATTCAATAGGGTGCCATTTGGGACTCAGCCTGTGTAGTAATTCAGTGTACAGCAGCTCTGTGTGAGGCTGTGCCACCCTGCTGTACTGGCAACTCTATTTCCAACCCTTTGTAGTCCTGCTCAATGCTATTCTACTACTACATATGGCTCCAGTCTAGTCTCATTGAAGCTACCTACCTACCTACCTACCTACCTACCTACCTACCTGCCTGCTGTACTGAATCATTTCTGCAGGCCTGGAGACCTATCCACAACCCCTCCTGTCTCCTTTGCCCACCAACACCCTGGCTGTGACTCAAATAGCACCATATTCCCTATATAGCATATTACTTTTGACCAGGGCCCATAGGGCTGTAATGAAAAGTAGGATAGGGCTCTGGTCAAAATAAGTGCACTATGCAGGGAATAGGGTGCCATTTTGGATACACACCCTGTTTGTCCCAAGTGAAAATCTCAATCTTAACATTCCATAATCACAGCATCCTCCTGATAGGCCCCTCTCTTCTGTCAATGAGTCTCACACCGACTTCGTGGTGCATCGAGGAACAGGTCTCACACTGACCTCGTGGTGCATCAAGGAACAGGTCTCACACTGACCTCGTGGTGCATCGAGGAACAGGTCTCACACTGACCTCGTGGTGCATCGAGGAACAGGTCTCACACTGACCTCGTGGTGCATCGAGGAACAGGTCTCACACTGATCTCGTGGTGCATCGAGGAACAGGTCTCACACTGACCTCGTGGTGCGTCGAGGAACAGGTCTCACACCGACCTCGTGGTGCATCGAGGAACAGGTCTCACACTGACCTCGTGGTGCATCGAGGAACAGGTCTCACACCGACCTTGTGGTGCATCGAGGAACAGGTCTCACACCGACCTCGTGGTGCATCGAGGAACAGGTCTCACACCGACCTTGTGGTGCAGTACCTGCCTAGAGAGATCAATAAATGGAAATTGGATCAGGCCGAAGTAACTCCGTATGAATCATCTTGATACAGTAATTCATTCTCATGTGGGAGACGTGCCGCCTCCTTCTGCATTAAAGTCTCTCTCTCATATCCTTATAGTAGAACACAATCTGCTGCCAGACTCTGGCCTGTCACATTGTGTGAATGTACGGTGCTCCATGAGGCTCATTCTCACTCTGCAGTTGGCTGTCCCAAGGGTTACTGCAGTACCATGCATGTCTCAGCAACATGTCAATGTGTTTATGGCAAGCCACCAACGGCTGCCTTTCAGACATGCTCTATTCACAAACCCCCGACGTGAAAAGTTAGATTTAGAAATTGAGTTCATGCCGCTTCACAGAATAAATGACTCCCGATCAATTGGAATCAAGGTGGATTGAAATGGTAATTTGCTAAATGAACAAGGTAGTGCAGTTCTGGCCACAGCTACATGGGGTGAATACTGAGCAGAGGGGATTATGGTACAAAAGGCCACAGATTGCCATGCTAGCACTTACAGGTACTGTCTCAATTCACACTTATACACCGTTTAGAGCATCATAGAGAAGTAGAGTTTGATATTGAGTCCGGCCTCAAGATGAAATGTACCCCTTTCAACAATAACATTTGCATTTATGTTAGTGTTCTGGTATTTTCCAACGTGTGCCAAGCCAACCTGTCTCCCTAAATGCTGATAAACTCTTATTGTCAAGTACCAATCACCTAAAAGGCTGTGGTGTTTAATGTTGCATTTCAATCAGTGTAACAACCTCAGTCAGCACTGAGGCCAGACAGACTGGACTCCCTTTGCCTGTTGCACTCACTATACTATACTATAAATTCTACTACTTAGCTCACATTGGCTGCATCCCAAATGGCACCCTTTTCCCTACATAGTGCACTACCCCTAAGGGCCCTGGTCAAAAGTAGTGTACTATAAAGGTAATATGGAGCCATTTGGGATACACAGTTGTCTGTAATAAAGTACTGTAGGGCTGAAAGACTGAGAGAGAGGGAGAGCCACACCTCCATGCTTCTAACCCAAACCACCTTAGATGAAGAACACTTTCCATTGGAAAAAATGGCCTGTAATAACTGTATTTGGATGTTTTCAGTCAACAACATTTGTCAGGCCTAACATGTATGAAGCCTTTTACTCAGATGAAAGCGGTGGATAAATCAAATGGAATGGTGGCTGGCACATACTGATGAGGTACGGTGTGTTGTGGCAGCTGGCAATTGTCCAGCAATGACAGACCTGCATAGGCTCTCTCTCTCTCTCTCTCTCTGTCTCTCTGTCTCTCTGTCTCTCTGTCTCTCTGTCTCTCTGTCTCTCTGTCTCTCTGTCTCTGTCTCTGTCTCTGTCTCTGTCTCTGTCTCTCTGTCTCTGTCTCTCTGTCTCTCTCTCTCTCTCTCTCACACCTCAAAGGGGCTGTGAAGATAGCAGGTGTGCTCCTTGCCACCAGAGCCCTCCTCCACCTCCTCACCTCACTTCCCCTTAGTCTGCTGTTCATCTGTCTCCCCCAATCACCTCAACAGAGGGAGGAGGATGGGCCAGTGTTGTACTGGGGGTACTCTTTCTGTATTCACAGCTCTCTCGCTCAATTCAATTCAATTTAAGGGCGTTATTGGCATGGGGAAACGTATGTTAACATTGCCAAAGCAAGTGAAGTAGATAGTAAACAAAAGTGAAATAAACAATAAATATTAACAGTAAACATTACACTCAGAAGTTTCAAAAGAATAAAGACATTTCAAATGTCAAATTATGTATATATACAGTGTTGTAACAATGTGCAAATAGTTAAAGTACAAATGGGAAAATAAATAAACATAAATATGGGTTGTATTTACAATGGTGTTTGTTCTTCACTGGTTGCCCTTTTCTTGTGGCAACAGGTCACAAATATTGCTGCTGTGATGGCACACTGTGGTATTTCACCCAGTAGATAAGGGAGTTTATCAAAATTGGGTTTGTTTTCGAATTCTTTGTGGATCTCTGTAATCTGAGGGAAATATGTGTCTCTAATATGGTCATACATTTGGCAGGAGGTTAGGAAGTGCAGCTCAGTTTCCACCTCGTTTTGTGGGCAGTGTGCACATAGCCTGTCTTCTCTTGAGAGCCAGGTCTGCCTACGGCGGTCTTTCTCAATAGCAAGGCTATGCTCACTGAGTCTGTACATAGTCAAAGCTTTCCTTAAGTTTGGGTCAATCACAGTGGTCAGGTATTCTGCCACTTTGTACTCTCTGTTTAGGGCCAAATAGCATTCTAGTTTGCTCTGTTCTTTTGTTAATTCTTTCCAATGTGTCAAGTAATTCTCTTTTTGTTTTCTCGCGATTTGGTTGGGTCTAATTGTGTTGTTGTTGTCCTGGGGCTCTGTGGGGTCTGTTTGTGTTTGTGAACAGAGCCCCAGGACCAGCTTTCTCTCTCGGTCTCGCTCTCGCTCTCTCCCTTTTGAGAGATTGTGATTGTATTTTCAGCAAAGCCCTCTTGCCTGCCTTTACCATTACTGTTTAATATTGAGCTCCAGTGAACTGCTTAGGCGCTGATTTAAAGGGTCCAGAAGGGTCCTGAGCTTCTTAACTCTCACACAGAATAATCATCTTACTGTTTCCCTTACTGCATATTTGTCACCCTGTAGTCTCCTGTTTTGCTTACAGTATTTCAAGACATATTCTTTGATTATCTGGTCCTTACTTAAGAGGCGTGATCTCTTAAATGGTAACCCTTTCAGTATTATTATTCTATGGTTTGGCGTGTTTATGGTTGTACAGGTATGGGTTCGTTCATACTTTGACCTGACGCAGGTTTCATGTGAAAACACGAGTCGATGGATTGGCTCATACATTGACCTGATCTGCAGGATTCATGTGACAACAGGACAGTTTTCATACTTTGTGGGTCAGGTCAGCTGCTTGTTGTTAGCCTGGATCTGAGAAGGAATGGAGCTAGTTCTGAGAGAACAGGCAATGTTCTGGTTAACTTTACTCTACTGACTTTATTGTCCCCTTGGGGAAATGTTGTTGCAGTTTCATGTACATGCTTAAAGTGGCGTTTAAATACAGTAGACTACAAATTACAAAAAAGAAATCATAACAGTTACATACAGCATATACCGATGAAAGCAGACCAGCCGGCTGGCCCACCCTGCCCTGGGTGGATAGGAACATTGTGTTTGTTTGTTTGTCTCCAGAGCGGTTTAGAACGCGTTGTGATTTTTCACTTCAGCAGCGTATCACGTTGCATCTGTTCAATCAGTTTAAAAACTATTAATTAAATCTGCCTAATATATTTATGTTTCTGAATTCAAGGATAATGGTAGGATAAGCTATATTTCTATATATTATATCACATTTTCAGTTTAACAGTACATAATAATACATGTCTATTTTTCATGTTACATGTCCTAAAGTCTCACCATACTTCCCTGTTGTTCCTCTGTCTGTTGTTGTTGCAGCACTTCCTTCTGGCCTCCAAGTTCATCCTGACCTTTGTGATCCCAGACGTCCCCAAAGACATCCAGATCAAACTGTCACGTCTGGAGTTTGAGTCCCTGGAGGCTCTGAAGAAAAGGGTGAGTTAGTCCCCAAGTAGGTTTGACTGACTGAACCCCTCAACTGTATGGTGTGGTGAATAACGCTAGCGTGACAGACATAGTGGTTTGACCTAATTTGAGTCTAAAAAGATGAAGAAAGCAGGTACCATCGCTCAACCTTAAACTTCGTGTACATTTTTTTATTTTTTTGGTGTGTTAAACCAAAAAACAATGAAGTCCCCAAAAAATAAAATGAAGGGACTTCAAGGTGATACAATGTAATAAGAAACACTAGATCAAGGAACGCCACAGACTTCTGTCTGGATAAGCTGGGTATATGAGGTGTACGACTGATGTGACTCACAGTCTCTTTGAGTCACCCATCAGGTTTATCATCTAAGTCTGATGGTTTAATGATCCATGTAGGTAGTTCACGCTGCAGCTAACTAACTAACTGTGTGTGCGTGCTATATTGTAATGTGTTAATGAGGCTCTGCTATTTTGGCAGATGTTTATCACCTTGTACGCAGCTCAGAAGTAGGTCTCACACACACACACACACACACACACACACAGAGAGGACACAATCATCTGCTTTCCCAGCACCAGAAAGAGCCTGTCTATAAACGGCTTACATACCGTGTATAGTTAAGGACAAAACACCAAATTATTTAGCAGACCTATACAGTTGAAGTCGGAAGTTTACATACACCTTAGCCAAATACATTTAAACTCAGTTTTTCACAATTCCTGACATTTAATCCTAGTAAAAATTCCCTGTCTTAGGTCAGTTAGGATCACCACTTTATTTTAAGAATGTGAAATGTCAGAATAATAGTAGAGAGTGATTTATTTCAGCTTTAATTTATTTCATCACATTCCTAGTGGGTCAGAAGTTTACATACACTCAATTATTATTTGGTAGCATTGCCTTTAAATTGTTTAACTTGGGTCAAACGTTTCGGGTAGCCTTCCACAAGCTTCCCACAATAAGTTGGGTGAATTTTGGCCCATTCCTCCTGACAGAGCTGGTGTAACTGAGTCAGGTTTGTAGGCCTCCTTGCTCGCACACGCTTTTTCAGTTCTGCCCACACATTTTCTATAGGATTGAGGTCAGGGCTTTGTGATGGTGTCGTAGAAATATTTGACTGAAAAGTAGACAACTTAAAGATATTTCTCAAGAGACCGGAGCTTGTGAATCCAAGAATTAGACTTTATTGCACAATAAAGCCGAGCTTGCTCCATGGAACAACTGGCTCTCCTTGGCTCAAAGATATCCTTTTATACAAATACAAGTGCATAGTCATCCTTTACATAGCATATACAGTTACTACCCTTAGGGTAAATGATTAACTTCTTTCATGGCCACGCCACCCTTATCTTTCAAATTCTAGATGTCACATGTTGTTTTCTCCAAAAAGGCTATGTGAACTTTTCCATATGACCTCTTCCTCTTATCTTATTATATTGGTGGCAGACCCTTTCTAAAAAATAATACACATACATACATTAAGGCATGGTTACACACTGTATTGGCTATATTGCTTATTTAAACATACGTCTGGATTATAGAATGTCAATCATGTTTACTATATTTTACTTTTGACATTTCCCAACATTTTGCCTTAATGATACATAATTTATTACTATAATGGTCACTCCAATACCTTGACTTTGTTGTCCTTAAGCCATTTTGCCACAACTTTGGAAGTATGCTTGGGGTCATTGTCCATTTGGAAGATCCATTTGCGACCAAACTTTAACTTCCTGACTGATGTCTTGAGATGTTGCTTCAATATATCCACCAAATTTTCCTTCCTCATGATGCCATCTATTTTGTGAAGTGCACCAGTCCCTCCTGCAGCAAAGCCCCACCACAGCATGATGCTGCCACCCCTGTGCTTCACAGTTGGGATTCTGTTGGGATGCTTGCAAGCGACCCCGCTTTTTCCTCCAAACATAACGATGGTCATTATGGCCAAACAGTTCTAGTTTTGTTTAATCAGACCAGAGGACATTTCTCCAAAAAGTACGATATTTTTCCCCCATGTGCATATGCAAACTGTAGTCTGGCTTTTTTATGGTGGTTTTGGAGCAGTGGCTTCTTCCTTGCTGAGCGGCCTTTCAGGTTATGTCGATATAGGACTCGTTTTACTGTGGATATAGATACTTTTGTACCTGTTTCCTCCAGCATCTTCACAAGGTCCTTTGCTATTGTTCTGGGATTGATTTGCACTTTTCACACCAAAGTACGTTCATCTCTAGGAGACAGAACGCGTCTCCTTCCTGAGTGGTATTACGGCTGCGTGGTCCCATGGTGTTTATACTTGCGTACTATTATTTGTACAGATGAACGTGGTACATTCAGGCATTTGGAAATTGTTCCCAAGGATGAACCAGACTTGAGGAGGTCTACATTGTTTTGTCTGAGGTCTTGGCTGATTTCTCTTGATTTTCCCATGATGTCAAGCAAAGAGGCACTGAGTTTGAAGGTAGGCCTTGAAATACATCCACAGGTACACCTCCAATTGACTCAAATGATGTCAATTAGCCTATCAGAAGCTTCTAAAGCCATGACATCATTTTCTGGAATTTTTCAAGCTGTTTAAAGGGCACAGTCAACTTAGTGTATGTAAACTTCTGACCCACTGGAATTGTGATACAGTGAATTATAAGTGAAATAATCTGTCTCTAAACAATTGTTGGAAAAATTACTTATGTCATGCACAAAGTAGATGTCCTAACCGACTTGCCAAAACTATAGTTTGTTAACAAGACATTTGTGGAGTGGTTGAAAAACGAGTTGTAATGACTCCAACCTAAGTGTATGTAAACTTCCGATATCAACTGTATCTCTCTCCATAACACATTACTGCAGACCCATATCTCTCTCCATAACACATGAATGCAGACCCATATCTCTCCATAACACATGAATGCAAACCCATATCTCTCTCCATAACACATGAATGCAGACCCATATCTCTCTCATAACACATGAATGCAGACCCATATCTCTCTCAATAACACATGAATGCAGACCCATATCTCTCTCCATAACACATGAATGCAGACCCATATCTCTCCATAATTCATGAATGCAGACCCATATCGCTCTCCATAACAGCTTCATGTAATGTATTCAGTCCCTCAATACATCTCCCAGAGCACTTTGGTAAAGATAAATTACAGGAGTTACGTTAATGGTATTGATATGAGTATGCTGCTGAGCAGTAGCTTGCCTCAGCTTGGCACTGCAGTCATTTACTGTATTGAGAATGACTTCTGAGTGCTTCAGCAATTAGCTAGCATGTCTTAGCTAGCTATCATTTCTCTCAGTACTGCAGAAAGAAGGGCGGGGCCATGAAATACATCACATTGATTGGTGGTATTTCTGATGCTTCTTGTTCTTGTCCAGCTGAATGTTGAATTTAAGCAGATTTGAACAGGATTGGTTGATTTCTTGGTTTGTTTGTGCAGAGCCAGGCCCATGGGCGGTAAGTTGCTTTGGGTCAGTCTGACTTAACTCTGCTATGCAGGTTGTGAGTTTGTCTGGTCATGGTTTGAATTGAAAGCTTCCCCTATAATACCTAATGCCTCGTATTACTCCTGTGAATAGAGATAGATAAGCTACTTAATAATGTCTAAATGTCTTGTGGTGCGGTGTGTTGTGATGGTGCTTGGTTACTGTGTTTAACTGACTATGTTTTCAACCCAGTCCCAGGCACGAGTAGTGCCCCAGCTACCATGGCTATTGAACGTCTTGCAGTTTGTTTTCATACCTCTTCCTCATAATGAATCCATTTCAATCTCCCTCTAACACTGTCCTAATCCTCATCCAATCCATCATAACCCAGTGAATACAATCTTGTGGCTCTCCGTCTTGATTAATAATCATTACAGATATTATCAAGCTTGACATAGCCTTTGCTTCATCAGGTTAAACGCTCTTGATTAAATTAATTCACGCCACCTTTGGCCTTTTCTCTATATCACTAATGACGTCAGCCAGCCAGCCAGCCAGCCAGCCAGCCAGCCAGCCAGGGCAGGCAGTGAGTCAGTCAGTCAGCCAGTCAGTCAGCCAGTCAGCCAGCTAGCCAGCCAGGGAAGGCATTGAGTCTCTTGAGTGACAGGAGTTGATGGACCTTTCAGACAACCCCAAGGTGTTGTGTCATGTCAGCTAGTCAGTCAACCCCAAGGTGTTGTGTCAGGTAGTCAGTCAACCCCAAGGTGTTGTGTCATGTCAGCTAGTCAGTCAACCCCAAGGTGTTGTGTCAGGTAGTCAGTCAACCCCAAGGTGTTGTGTCATGTCAGGTAGTCAGTCAACCCCAAGGTGTTGTGTCATGTCAGCTAGTCAGTCAACCCCAAGGTGTTGTGTCAGGTAGTCAGTCAACCCCAAGGTGTTGTGTCAGGTAGTCAGTCAACCCCAATGTGTTGTGTCATGTCAGCTAGTCTGTCAACCCCAAGGTGTTGTGTCAGGTAGTCAGTCAACCCCAAGGTGTTGTGTCAGGTAGTCAGTCAACCCCAAGGTGTTGTGTCAGCTAGTCAGTCTACCCCAAGGTGTTGTGTCAGCTAGTCAGTCAACCCCAATGTGTTGTGTCATGTCAGCTAGTCTGTCAACCCCAAGGTGTTGTGTCAGGTAGTCAGTCAACCCCAAGGTGTTGTGTCAGCTAGTCAGTCAACCCCAAGGTGTTGTGTCAGGTAGTCAGTCAACCCCAAGGGTGTGTGTCAGGTAGTCAGTCAACCCCAAGGTGTTGTGTCAGGTAGTCAGTCAACCCCAAGGTGTTGTGTCAGGTAGTCAGTCAACCCCAAGGTGTTGTGTCATGTCAGGTAGTCAGTCAACCCCAAGGTGTTGTGTCATGTCAGCTAGTCAGTCAACCCCAAGGTGTTGTGTCAGGTAGTCAGTCAACCCCAATGTGTTGTGTCATGTCAGCTAGTCTGTCAACCCAAGGTGTTGTGTCAGGTAGTCAGTCAACCCCAAGGTGTTGGTCAGGTAGTCAGTCAACCCCAAGGTGTTGTGTCAGCTAGTCAGTCAACCCCAAGGTGTTGTGTCAGCTAGTCAGTCAACCCCAAGGTGTTGTGTCAGGTAGTCAGTCAACCCCAAGGTGTTGTGTCAGGTAGTCAGTCAACCCCAAGGTGTTGTGTCATGTCAGGTAGTCAGTCAACCCCAAGGTGTTGTGTCATGTCAGCTAGTCAGTCAACCCCAAGGTGTTGTGTCAGGTAGTCAGTCAACCCCAAGGTGTTGTGTCAGGTAGTCAGTCAACCCCAATGTGTTGTGTCATGTCAGCTAGTCTGTCAACCCCAAGGTGTTGTGTCAGGTAGTCAGTCAACCCAAGGTGTTGTGTCAGTAGTCAGTCAACCCCAAGGTGTTGTGTCAGCTAGTCAGTCAACCCCAAGGTGTTGTGTCAGCTAGTCAGTCAACCCCAAGGTGTTGTGTCAGGTAGTCAGTCAACCCCAAGGTGTTGTGTCAGGTAGTCAGTCAACCCCAAGGTGTTGTGTCAGGTAGTCAGTCTACCCCAAGGCGTTGTGTCATGTCAGCTAGTCAGTCAACCCCAAGGCATTGTGTCATGTCAGCTAGTCAGTCAACCCCAAGGCGTTGTGTCAGGTAGTCATCAACCCAAGGTGTGTCAGTATCAGTACCCAAGCGTTTGTCATATAGTCAGTCAACCCAAGGTTCGTAGTCAGTGCTGTTCATCTAGGTATCGTCAGGTTTGCATAGTCGCACCACGTTGTGCAGTAGTGTCAGTCAGTCAGCACCAAGGCGTTGTGTATGTCAGTAGTCGCAGGACAGCTTCACTGGAGTCTTCATCAGCGTCTCCAAGAGGTAGGTATGAATAGAGAGCCAGTCATGAGTACGGCGTGTAAGGAGAGAGACGATCTGTTCTTGAGGCAACATCAGTTTCAGGCAGAAGCAGATGATACGTCGAAGCCAATGCTACGTGCGGGAAGCCCTGTTCTGAGGGAAGTGACAAGCAGTGCAGTAAGAATCATACGTCACAGGAGAGCAAGAAACTGTACATAGAAGGATGTCATGGACATATCGGAAACCAATCTTGCATGGGAGAACAAGTACTGTCAGCAGGTCTACGGGGAACATCAACACTAGTCTGGTACTTCAGAAAGCAGCTCAATGTGCTAGAGAGAGGACGTAGTACTAAGAGAGAAGAGACGATATGTACTAAGAGAGGAGAGACAGATCTGTACTTAGAAGACAGATACTGTACTTAAGAGGAGAGTAGACAATACTGTACTTGGAGAGAAACAGCTACTTACTTAGAGGGACAGAGACAGATACGTACTATAGAGAGGGAGACAGTACTGTACTATAGAGAGGAGAGACATACTGTACTATAGAGAGACAGATACTGTACTAAGAGAGGAAGAACGCTACTGTCTATAGAAGGAGAGACAGATACTGTACTATAGAGCAGAGAGAGCAGTACTGTACTATAGAGAAGAACAGATACTGTACTATAGCAGAAGAGGACAGATCTGTACTATAGAGAGGAGCAGATACTGTACATAGAGAGAAGAGACAGATACTGTACTAAGAGAGAGAACAGATACTGTACTATGAGAGGAGAGACATACTGTACTATAGAGAGAGAGAGACAGATACTGTACTTAGAAGAGGACGATACTGTACTATAGAGAGGAGAGACAGTACTGTACTATAGAGAGAAGAGACGATACTGTACTATAGAGAGACAGATACTGTACTATAGAGAGGAGAGACAATACTGTACTATAGAGAGAGAGAGACAGATACTGTACTATAGAGAGGAGAGACAATACTGTACTATAGAGAGGAGAGACAGATACTGTACTATAGAGAGAAGAGAGACGATACTGTACTATAGAGGAGGAAATCGACTATAGAGAGACAGATACTGTACTATAGAGAGGAGAGACAGATACTGTACTATAAGAGAAGAGAGACAGATACTGTACATAGAGAGGAGAGAGCAGATACTGTACTATAGAGAGGAGAGACAGATACTGTACTATAGAGAGAGAAGACAGATACTGTACTATAGAGAGAGAGAGACAGATACTGTACTATAGAAGAGAGACAGATACTGTACTATAGAGAGAGAGAGACAGATACTGTACTATAGAAGAAGAGGACAGATACGTACACTAGAGGGAAGCTCTTACTATGAGAGGAGAGACAGATACTGTACTATAGAGAGAAGAGAGACAGATACTGTACTATAGAGAGAGAGAGAGACAGATACTGTACTATAGAGAGAGAGACAGATACTGTACTATAGAGAGGAGAGAGACAGATACTGTACTATAGAGAGAAGAGAGACAGATACTGTACTATAGAGAGAGAGAGACAGATACTGTACTATAGAGAGGAAGAGACAGATACTGTACTATAGAGAGAAGAGAGACAGATACTGTACTATAGAGAGGAGAGACAGATACTGTACTATAGAGAGGAGAGAGACAGATACTGTACTATAGAGAGAAGAGAGACAGATACTGTACTATAGAGGAGAGACAGATACTGTACTATAGAGAGGAGAGACAGATACTGTACTATAGAGAGAAGAGAGACAGATACTGTACTATAGAGAGACAGATACTGTACTATAGAGAGAGAGACAGATACTGTACTATAGAGAGAGAGAGAGACGAACAGATACTGTACTATAGAGAGGACTGCAGAGGAGAGACAGATACTGTACTATAGAGAGAAGAGAGACAGATACTGTACTATAGAGAGAGAGAGAGACAGATACTGTACTATAGAGAGAGGAGAGACAGATACTGTACTAAAGAGGAGAGAGACAGATACTGTACTATAGAGAGAAGAGAGACAGATACTGTACTATAGAGAGAAGAGACAGATACTGTACTATAGAGAGAGAGAGAACAGATACTGTACTATAGAGAAGAGAGACAGATACTGTACTATAGAGGGAGACGAGAGCAGATACTGTACTATAGAGAGAGAGGACAGATACTGTACTATAGAGAGAGAGACGACGAGAGGAGAGAATACTGTACTATAGAGAGGAGAGAGACAGATACTGTACTATAGAGAGGAGAGACAGATACTGTACTATAGAGAGAGAGAGACAGATACTGTACTATAGAGAGAAGAGAGACAGATACTGTACTATAGAGAGGAGAGACAGATACTGTACTATAGAGAGGAGAGAGACAGATACTGTACTATAGAGAGAGAGAGACAGATACTGTACTATAGAGAGCGATAGTCTAAGGAGGAGAGTACGAAAGAGAGAGGACAGATACTGTACTATAGAGAGGAGAGAGACAGATACTGTACTATAGAGAGAGAGAGAATGCAGATACTTGTACTATAGAGAGAGAGAGACAGATACTGTACTATAGAGAGACAGATACTGTAAGCTATAGAGAGGAGAGACAGATACTGTACTATAGAGAGAAGAGAGACAGATACTGTACTATAGAGAGAGAGAGACAGATACTGTACTATAGAGAGGAGAGACAGATACTGTACTATAGAGAGGAGAGAGACAGATACTGTACTATAGGAGAGATAGAAGAGGACAGATACTGTACTATAGAGAGAAGAAGACAGATACTGTACTATAGAGAGAGAGAGACAGATACTGTACTATAGAGAGAGAGAGAGACAGATACTGTACTATGAGAGGAGAGGACAGATACTGTACTATAGAGAGGAGAGAGACAGATACTGTACTAATAGAGAGAGGAGACATACTGTACTATAGAG